AAAGGTGAATGTTCCAATTACAAGAAAAAGCAAGCCAAAGCATTCAACATCTCTTTTATCCAAGTAATCTTCTCATGAATCAAGAAAACAAACATCATGGCAATTTACTTGACAAAGGGGAATCTAAGTCAGAAATCCCTCACCAAGGTTAATGTGTATGTCACTCATCACTCAAAAGTGTATTGGCTTGTGTTTACACTCAAAATCATCCTACCCAATCCTCTTTCCATAGGCTTGACAAGAATCTAAATTCTCCACCAATCATAAAGCCATTACAAGCATAAATTAAAAGGACTTTTATTAGGTTGTAATGGGGCTAAGGTAAACAAAGAATGGATAGAGTGTTTGGGAAAACAAAGGTGAACATCTTAGGAAATGAAGAGAGTCAATAAAAAATAAATAAATAATGGAATGTAAAAAACTAAAATAAACTTGAATTGGGTCATTCTTTTTCTTTTTCTTTTTTTTTCTTCTCCTTTTTTTTTCAAGCACTTTTTTTTAAAACTTTCTTAGGCCGTTATGTATATGCTCTTTTGACGCGAACCTTCATATTGGTGATACAAAGGCCCGGTTACTCAAGCATGGATAATTCATTGGCACTAAGATGCTACTAGCACGCTCATAGCCCTTACTGGCCGTTTGACGCGAAGATCAACATTGGTGATGAAGATCCCCGGTTACTAAGCACAGCTTAAACTAGAGGAGCGGAATCTTATTACAATATTTTTTTTCTTTTTTTCAAATTGACCCAAACCATAACTCCAAATGTGTTCCTCCATCCCAAGCACATATAATATAACACTCTTCAACTCCTAAGACATTTAAAAGGGTAGGAATTTTTTTTTATAGGTTAAGAGGGAAAAAAATATGAAGGCTCAAAGGGGTTAAGCAAAGGATAAATGCATGAAAAGGGTGGGCTTTTGGCTTATCTGGCTAGAATAATTGAAATGAATGCCTTTATCATCTTTATGACTGCAAATGCACAATCGTGGTCTCAAACAAGATTCAAGTCAAGTTCTAGATTGAGAAAAGAGATAGGAGTATACACACATGAAAAGAAGACACGTATCAGGCTCAAAACCTCACTAGGTATATGATTACTAGCTTAAATTCACCTAAGTCAAATCCATTGCCACTTAGTTTATCCGCTCAAAACATGATCAATCACTTTTCACATCAAGAATGCATCATACTTGAGTCACTTCAAACTTGCAATCTTCACATTCAAAACAAAACAAACAAAACATTTTTTTCTTCCTTTTTTTTTTGTAAGAGGAACTAAAACAAAAGTAAAACACACCAAAAAAGGAAAAAAAAATAAAAGAATGAAATCCCTCCCCCACACTTAAACAATGCATTGTCCTCAATGCAGAACACATAGGCAAGTCACAAAGCAAGTAGTATCCAGCACAGCCCAACTCAATAATATGACAATGCAAAGCAAAAAGAGTGAAGGGAAGGAATACAACCAAGGCTACGTGGCGTCTCGTAGTGTGATAACCTCTACATCTTGGGTAGAGAACCCCTCGTAGTAAGGCTTCAAGCGATGACCATTGACTGTAAAGCATCTTCCAGTTGGCTCTCTCTTAATCTCTACAGCACCATAGGAAAAAACATTAGTGACAATAAAAGGTCCCTCCCATCTAGAACGGAGCTTACCAGGCATGAGTTTAAGTCTAGAGACATAAAGTAGAACTTTTTGGCCCACATGAAAATCCCTTCTTAAGATGAGCTTATCATGGATAGCCTTGGTCCTTTCCTTGTAGATTCGAGCATTCTCATAGGCTTCTCTCCTAAGCTCTTCAAGTTCTTGCAATTGTAACTTTCTTTTAACACCAGCACTAGCAAGATCAAGGCTGCAGCTTTTGATGGCCCAATATGCCTTGTGCTCCACCTCTACTGGCAGATGACAAGCCTTACCAAAGACAATTCGATATGGGGACATTCCAACTGGGCTTTTATATGTTGTACGATATGCCCAGAGTGCATCATCCAGCCTTTTGCTCCAATCCTTTCTGTTAGGTTGCACTGTCTTTTCAAGAATGAGCTTAATTTCTCTGTTTGAGAGTTCTGCTTGACCGTTTGTCTGAGGGTGGTATGGAGTAGCCACCTTATGCATCACACCATACTTGCTCAGTAAGCTCTGCATACTTCGGTTGCAAAAATGAGTACCCTGATCGCTAATGATAGCTCTTGGGATTCCAAACTTGCAGAAGATGTGAGACCTGACAAAAGAAACCACTACAGAAGAGTCATTAGTACGAGTGGGGATTGCCTCAACCCACTTAGAGACATAATCCACAGCAAGCAGAATGTAAACATAACCAAATGAAGTAGGAAAAGGTCCCATGAAATCAATACCCCAAACGTCAAAAACTTCACAGAACAATAGCGGCTGTTGAGGCATTTCATGCTTCCTATAAATATTGCCAACAAATTGGCACCTGGAACACTTCTTACAAAACTCGTGGGCATCATGGAATAGAGTGGGCCAGAATAACCCACTTTCTAAAACCTTCCTAGCAGTACGCTTAGCACTAAAGTGCCCTCCACAAGCAAGAGTGTGACAAAATGTCAACACAGATTCAAATTCACTATCAGGAATGCATCGCCTAATAACCTGATCATTGCAAATGTGCCACAAGTAGGGATCATCCCATATATAGAACCTAGCATCACTCTTAAACTTGTTTAATTGATGCTTATTCATATCAGTTGGTAAAACAGATGCAGCCAGATAATTAGCAATGTCAGCATACCACGGAACAGTCATATCAACTCCACAAAGTCTATTATCAGGAAAATCATCTAAGGGTAAAGAAGATGTTACCACAGGAGTCTCAATCCTACTCAAGTGATCAGCTACCATGTTCTCTGCACCGCTCTTATCACGGATCTCCACATCAAACTCCTGTATCAGCATTACCCATCTAATCAAGCGGGGTTTAGAGTCTGGCTTCTTGAACAAGTACTTGATAGCCGAATGATCTGTAAAGACAGTCACTTTTGTGTGGAGGATGTAAGAACGAAATTTCTCAAGCCCAAACACAATTGCAAATAGCTCTTTCTCTGTGGTTGTGTAATTAGCCTGGGTGGCATCCAGTGTCCGTGATGCATATGCTATGATATGTTGCCGCTTTTCTATTCTCTGAGCAAGAACTGCACCCAATGCATAATCAGAAGCATCACACAAGAGCTCAAAGGGAAGGCTCCAATTAGGTGGCTGAATGATAGGAGGTGTAGTGAGTCGCTTTTTCAACTCATCCCAAGCATACCTGCAAGCATCATCAAAAACAAAGCCCACATCTTTCTGCAGTAAACGAGACAATGGTAATGCAATCTTACTAAAGTCCTGAATGAATCGCCTGTAAAATCCAGCATGCCCAAGAAAAGAGCGCACATCTTTCACACAAGAGGGATATGGAAGAGATGAAATAATGTCAATTTTGGCTTTATCAACCTCAATGCCATCATGTGAAACAACATGTCCTAAAACAATGCCTTTCTTGACCATAAAATGACATTTCTCAAAATTTAGCACAAGATTATATTCAATGCATCTTTTCAAAACCCTATCCAAACTAGCTAAGCATGCATCAAAAGAATCACCATAGACAGTGAAATCATCCATAAATACTTCCATGCAATGCTCAAGAAAATCAGAAAATATGGAGACCATGCAACGCTGAAAAGTGCCAGGTGCATTACATAATCCAAACGGCATGCGTCTGTATGCAAAGGTTCCAAATGTACATGTGAATGTGGTCTTATCCTGATCCTCAGGTGCAATAGAAATTTGAAAATATCCAGAAAAACCATCCAAAAAACAATAATGGGATCTACCAGCCAGTCTTTCAAGCATTTGATCAATAAAGGGAAGGGGGTAATGATCTTTTCTGGTCACAGAATTCAACTTTCTATAATCAATACATACCCTCCAGCTATTCTGGACTCTAGTTGGAACAAGCTCACCTTCATCATTACGAATAACAGTAATACCAGTCTTTTTCGGAACTACCTGAACCGGACTAACCCACTGGCTATCAGAAATGGGATAGATTATACCTGCAGAAAGAAGTTTAGAAACCTCTTTCTTTACCACATCAAGAATCAATGGGTTGAGTCGCCTCTGTGGCTGACGCACAGCTTTGGCACTATCTTCTAACAAAATCCGGTGCATGCACACATTAGGGCTAATTCCAGGAATATCAGCAAGAGTCCATCCAATAGCTTTCATCCTTCTTTTTAGCACCTCCAGGAGGCGAATTTCTTCATCAACAGCTATGTCGCGAGCTAGAATCACTGGCAATGTCTCATCCTCCCCCAAATAGGCATATTTCAGCGAATCTGGAAGTGGCTTTAGCTCTAAAGAAGGAGCTCGCTCAATTGAGGGCACGAGGGGCTTCAAATCAATGTTAGTCAAACTAGAAACCTGCATTGAAGACTCACAAGCAAAAGAGCAGACTTTCCCAACTTGGGAATCATTAGCAGGAACAGTAACAACAGAAGAATCAGATAATACACCACAATTCATGAAAGAAGTGCCATCAGTAGCACTCATGTCAGAAGCGACATCGGGATCAAAATCAGAGACCTCTATATCAGGGACATGATCAATGTTAACTAACAGATCAGAGTCAGGTAATGTAGATGAATCAGTTGCATCTATAGCATCAATCACACTAAGTAACTGAGAGAGTCCATGTGAATCAACAGAAGTACTAGATGAGGAATCACTGAAAGTGCCAAGTCTATGGATAGGTGCAGAAGAATCAAAACTAGAATGTCTAACAATCTCAATGAAATCAGTGAAAACATCAATATCAGCAGCATCTATACCAGTACAAGTATCACAACTACCAATTTCAGAACATGAACAAGAGATAGAATCATCTAAGCCAACAATATCACATGATCTACTTATCATACTATCTCTAAAATCTATGACAGCATCATCAGTAATAATGTCAACAAAACTAACATCAATCTCAGCACAACTATCAGGGATGTCTCATAGAGTCAAGCACATCAAATCTAATGATTTTACCAGCAAATTCCATAGTAAGAGTACCAGCATGCACATCTATCATAGCCCTAGCAGTCTTAAGAAATGGCCTACCCAAAATCAAAGATAAATGTCCCTTTTGCCTAAATCTAGCATCATCCATATCAAGAACATAGAAGTCTACAGGAAATATGAGATCTTTTACCTTCACCAAGACATCCTCCAAGACTCCTTCTGGAACTACACAGTGTCTGTCAGCAAGAGAAGCGATTAGATTTGTAGGCTTAAGATCCACACCTTGAAGTTGAGCAAAAACTGATTTTGGCATGACATTGATGGCCGCTCCTAGATCTACTAGAGCATCTGAAAACTCAATGTTACCAATGGTGCACGGTATGAGAAAGCTACCAGGATCCTTGCACTTCACTGGCATTGGCATTTGATAAAGAGAGGAGACAACCGCCCCTAAGTCAACTTTGCCATCATGCTTAAGCCTTCTCTTGGTGGTACACAACTCCTTCAAAAACTTCGCATACTTAGGCACTTGTGCAACTAGATCAACTAATGGAACATTGATTACCACCTTTTTGAAGATATCATAAACTTCTTTGAACATCTCAGCTTCTTTCTTTCTCCTTTCAGCCTTAATCACCCCTGTAGGAAAAGGTAAGACTTGCTCACTCACTTTCTTCCCTTCCCCATCTTTTTCTTGCTCTTCTTGCAATGCCACATGTGGTATTGATAAAGTGGACTTATTATGCGATGTGGAAGCAGGGGGAGAATCTTTAATGATAGCTTCCTTGTTCGTTGAAGCATGGGTAGTGACAGGATCTGCAGAGGTAATTGAATTTCCGCTTCTAAGAGATATAGCATTAATTCCACCAATGTTAGGATTCTGCTGGGTGCCAACATTAGGGTTAACTACTACTTGAGATGGCAACTTCCCTGAGCCTTGACTTTGCATGTTACTAAATGCATTAGATAACTGCCCAATTTGAGTTTGAAGATTCTGAATTTCTTGGCTATGTTGCAAATCCTTTTGTTCAAACTTATCCATCAGGAGTTTCATCATGCCTTCTAACTTTGAACTCTCATCTTGATTGGGCATAGTTTGCCTAACTTGTTGGAACATTTTACCACCAGAAGAGTTTATGCCTTGATTGAACTGTGATTGTTGAGGCTGGCCACTCCCATATCTGAGATTTGGATGGTCACGCCATCCAGGGTTGTATGTATTTGAGTAAGGATCATATTTCTGGCCACCTTGAGTCATAGGCTTAGTGTGGTATACTGCATTACACGAGTCAACTCCATCATTTAGGTAAGGGCAAGAGTCAGTGGTGTGAGTAGCTAGAGAGTAAATAGAGCAAAGTGGCCCAATTAGAGCTGTAGAGTCAGCTTGTGGGATGAAAGCAGAGGAAGATCCCACAGAAGGAGCCATATTTTGGGAGTTTTTCATCTGAAATACAACCATTTTCTCCATAGCAGATGTTAACTTATCAATTTTGCTCTCAAGGCGAGACTCAGAATAAGATGAATGCAATCCAACTTCATTTACTCTAGCTTGCTGCCTAGTACCAAACTGTTGGGTATTTTCAGCTTTCTTTTCAATCAATCTCCAAGCAGCTTCAACAGTCAAGTCAAGAAGAGCACCTCCAGCAGCAGAATCTAGTAAATCTCTCTCAAGAGGCAAGAGCCCTTCATGCAAATATTGAATCAACAATGTATCTGAAATTTGGTGGTGAGGACAACAAGATAACAATGCCTTAAAGCGCTCATAATACTCATATAAGGATTCACCAGACATTTGTCGACAACCACAAATATCCTTCCTGATGGAGGAAGTACGAGATGCTGGGAAATACTTTTCCAAAAACAACCTTTTCAGCTGGTCCCATGAAGTAATGAATCCAGGAGGTAACCGAAGAAGCCAATTCTTCGTAGAACTTTCCAAAGAAAATAGGAAGGCACGCATCTTAATCTGATCCTCAGACACACCAGAAGGCTTCATAGCAGTACAGATCATATGAAAAGTCTTCAAGTGATTGTATGGATCCTCGCCTGCAAGACCATTAAATTTTGGAAGTAAGTGAATCAATCCAGACTTTAACTCAATTTTGTGTAGAGATATATTGTTGGAAAGTGTTTAAAATCATTGGAATCAAAAATAGAATTTTTGGAGATATATATAACCTTCTATTCGGCCAGTCATTGTTCATGGGGGAGGAGTTTGAATTTTAAAAATCTAATTGCACCATTGGACTCCTTGTGAAAAATTGTGTAGGATTGAGTCATGAGATGATTGGTTCTAAAGAAGGAATCATTTTGTTAAAAATCAAAGGAAAAGAGAGAAATTGTCAAGTTAAAGTTTAAGGATTGTATATAAGTTGTTTGGTTAGTAATGTGGCCTATTTTATGCTTGGTTTAATAGGCTTTGTGAGAAGGAAGTAAGGAAGATCATTGTCCCTTGAAGTGATCAAATTAGACAAGTAACAAAAGGTAGCATTGAATTATGATTAAAGTGCTTTCTTGCTTACATTTATGTGTATGTGTGTATATGCTATGAATGCCATGATGTGACTAAGCTATGCTGCTGAATTATAATTGCAATGTTTATGTTGAGCTTGCCTTGGCATTATGTTATGTGAATATGTATGAATCTGCTTACTTTCCATGGCATTTCACTATGCATGAACCATAAAGTTATTTGCACAAAAGCATCTCACATTATGTTTGCATGATTGTATGATAATTATGATTCTTTATGAAACGTCCTGCCTTTAACCCCTCGAGTACGCATTCGTAAGCGTTATGGTTCAAGCAGATCATGACACAAGCCCGCAGATTTAAAAATTTCAACATAATTACTCGGGTTACTATTCACTGTTTAACTTCCAGATTATAGGTCCAATTTTAAAAATTCATAACTAATTCCATAAAAATCGTATTGGGGTGTTCTAAAATTCTACAAAAATCTCTTTCAATGCTCTTTAGTGAAAAAATATCAAACTGTACTTATCCTTGACCAATTCATACAGTTTATTCAGTAAATTCTACCGTTCATTTCGTAAAATCTGAAACTTCCAGATTATGTGCCTCAACTTTGGAAATTTGTATCTCCTTCTGTACACATCCAATTGAGGTGATCTACCTCTTGTTTTAAAGCTTGAGATGTGTACTATGAGTCTGCCAAATCTCATGACTTAACTCATTCGTTTAATAGGTCAAACTAGAGTTACAATCTTACTGCTCCAGGACCCACGTTTTATCCCTTAACATCTCTTTACTTAAATTCTTTTTATTTCTTTGGCATACATAACATGGGCTTACTCTTTCCCATTTATGATCATACATTTCTGTACATGCCATAAGCATTATAATTAATTACATGGCATCCTATGCATCCATAACATAAATTACACAATAGGAGAATTACACATTGAATAATAATATCATTCATTAACATGAACAATTCTCTACTTTCTTCTCCTTGCTTCTCATGCCATTATTGCCCATTGATGATTGACCTATATGGTTGGTTAGGGAGGGGTGAGATTCGGGGGAATCTCAGTAGCAAACAATACCACATAATCATGCTAGATGGATGCTAATGCACTACACACAACTTGTTTATTCTCTTGTTAATTAGTGACATACTAGCATGCTCAAAGCTAACTTCTTGATGCATGGCCATGGAGACATAATCTACTCATCATGAACAGCAATTACAGCAGCTAAAACATGTCACAACAACATGCAAATAACATGTACACTGTAACACACAAGCATACCACATCAAGCAATGACAATAGGTAAGTTCACTACCTTGCACCTCAAGCTTTCCTCTTACTTTTCCTTTGACTCCCTTGACTTTCCAACCTCGTGGGCATTGGATGAACATCATCAAATGTCCTCTTGGATGTTCCAAAGGTCCTAAACATAACCATAATGATCAAACAATCCATTAGGACCATTAGATTATATAAAGTTCAAGACTAGCTTTCTTGAACCTCAACCCTTTCTCTTAGTCTTAGGGTTTTCTTTCTAACTTTTCTAATATAAATCTTATCATTTTCCATCCTTACGATCTATTTCCTATCAATTAGGACCACTTTAGATGGCTTTAGATTCAAGAATATCAAATCTGGAAATTTTGGTTCGCGGGTACTGTTCGCGCAGAATCTCCAAAATTTTTGCTCAACTTTGAAAATTCATAATTAAATCTATAAAAATCCAAATTGAGTACTTCCAAGTCTCACTGAAAGGTTATTAAGTTAAATTTAAAGGAAAAAATAGTTTCAGGAACCAATTCTATGCTGAACAGTACCAGAATTGTACGGAAATTGACACCCTTCCAAAAGCTTAACACTGTTTCCAGATTTCAAACCCTAACTTTGAAAAATCACCATAAATTGTACACATATCCAAATGAAGTGTTCTACCCATGGATTTAAAGCTCACAGAGTGTACTTTAAGTATGAAAAATTTCAGAATCAGATACGTACAGTAACTAATTCGAAATAGGTATCAAATCAGATGCTACAGCCACCACATACCTTGATCTTGAGGCTTGAACTTTGTTCCTTCTTCTTGGCCTTCACCCCTACGTTTTTCTCTCTAAATTTTGGCAGAGTTTCCCCACTTAAACTCATGTTGGCTGAAAATATGAAGGGGAAGAGGCTCTATTTATAGCCAAAAAAGTTGGCTTGAATAGACCAAAATGCCCTTGGTGGCTAATAGAAAGGGTAAGGGCAAATTTGGAAGTTCAAGTGGACTTTTGCATCATCATTGTATCATCTTATTACATCATGCTTACCTTAACCTTCTAGAAGATGCCAAGTGTCACAAATGTGGTGGAGGAGATGGGAGATTAGATCCTAGCCGTTGGATCAAACTTGTTTCATAAGCTTCCTTCGAATTTACTTGGCCCACGTTTCTCCGGCTTTCTTTATGGCCTTTCGGAGCTCAGAAAATTGTTATATCTACTTTATAAATTTTTTTTAATTCTAGAGAATATCTATGAATTTTCTTAGGCCATAACACTTCCTTTAAACCTTGCATAAAAATTCATTTACCAAAATGCCCTTTTATCGGCAAAACCGGCTTTTTAATTTATTAAAGCCACTCCACTGGCCTTTTGGTTGCGAGACTAATTTTATAAATTAGTACAACCTTTCAACCATTTAATCTCATTTTTGTATACATTTTTGAGGTCTCTTGCTATTTTAAATAATTACTTCAAACGGTATACTTTTTACTGGCCAAAACCTTATAAATTCCATTTAAGCTGCCTCAGGGGTATTCTCGTCTTTTCTCTTTACAGAAGAGCCTTAGACTATTATTTCCCATTTTTTGGGATTTTCTTGAAATTCTTTGTACACTCTTCCATTTTTGCCCTTACTGGTCATAACTTTTTGAATTTACAGTTTAGTTCCTGCTTGGACTTAACTTCATATAATCCTCTCTTTAAGGTTTGTAATTTACCCCTTGGCCTGTATCTAGCCTCTTTTCTCTTTTTGGGCCTTCGAGACTTTACTGGAGCCTCTAACTTTAATTACACTTGAGCCCCTAAAAACTTTCACTTTGCAGTTTAGTCCCCAAAACTGCTTTGACTTCCTTTCTCATCTTTGGGACTTCTGCTCAAAAGGGGTCTAGTAGCCTATCTAATTTTGGCTATTTCTAGTACTTCTAGGCCCAAAAGTTTGGATGTTACACTTTACTACTGGGATTTCTTTGAAATCTCATTCTCCCTATGTGTAAAATAACCCTAAGAGGACGATCAAGCAAGGGCAAGGGCCAAGAAGTGGTGAATGAAGGCATAGCGACATTATTAATGGATATTATGTTAGTTTATGTAATGTTTGGATGTTTTGTATTTGTTGGATAATAGCTCCTTTATGGAGATGAACATATGTGAACATGTATGAATATGTATAAGTATTCTAGAATGTATGTACAAGTATAGTACAAGTCCCAAAAGGTTGAAGATGGATAAAAGGTAAAGGAAAGGTACAGTTAAACTTAATCGGGGATAAAATATCTCTAAAAATCACCAAATTTGAGACACATAAAATAATAAGCATTTCCTTAATTCTGGACCTGAGATTTGACAGACTTATAGATTATATTTTCAGCTTTAAATCAAGTGGTAGAACGTTGAAATCAGAGTTTTGTGTGAAGAGTTATTATGCCCTTCTAAAGTTGGGCTAAAATACTAGAAATTTGAAAATTTACCATATGAATAGTGTACTCTATTAAATTTTTGGTGCTATTTTGGATAGAATTAAGTCCAATGAATATTTTTTCTCTTAGCAAGCTTTGTGTAAAAATTAGAACCACCTCGTTTCAATTTTTCTAGAATTAGTTATAAATTTTCAAAGTTGGCCCAATTTCAGATGAACGGTGTACGGACATAATGAAAAAGAAAATTTTAAAGTTGAAATTTTTCATCCGGAAACACTGCAAAACACGTTATAATGGTTCCAATTGATGTTTAATGGGTTATAAAGAGAGGTGTGACATGTAACATTCTAAATTATAGGCTTAGAGGTATATAAAATAGCCTGAGATATGAAGGCTACTAGACCTATTCTGACAAGAGTCCCAGAGGTTCTTTGGACGGACAGAGGGATTCCCCAGAACTAAATCACAAAGTGAAAGTTTTCTAGAATTAAGAAAAGAGAAAGATAGAGACTTTGATGAAGTCTCAAGTGTTCAAGTAAGAGAATTGGAGATGCTTAGGGGCCAAAAGTTATGCTTGGAACCTTGGTGAGATGATTCCTGAGGCTAAACTTGAGCAGGGACGGACTTGCAAATTTTGAAAGTTTCAGGCTGGAAAAGGAGTAACGGAAAGGACACCCGAAAATTCTAAAAGATCCTAAAAAATGTCAAAAAATAGGGAATGACCTTCTAAAGCCTGTATGGATTAAAAATAGTAAAAATAAACATGGAGCAAATTGATGACATTCCTAGGGTTTTGGCTAATTACAAATATTAGTCGAAGTTAAATTA